TTATCTTTGAGAACTTTGAAGATTGAGTTCCAAGCTCTCCTAGTCTGAAGGGTTTCTGTAGATAAACCTGCTGGTTTTCTAATTGGTTTTCCCCAGTAGGTAGTCTGAGCTTTATCTCTTGCTGCCTTTAGGATTTTTTTCTTTTATACCTACTTTGTTTAGGCGAATTATTATGTGTCTAGGAGTTGGTCTTCTCATTTGTTGTCTTTCAGGGGTTCTCTGAATCTCTTATGTTTGAATGGTTGCATCACTGATAAGATGAGGGAAGTTTTCATGGAATGTTTGTTCCAGGGTGAACTCTGTCTCTTTCTGCTACAAGAAGTTCAATTACTCTTAGGTTCAGCCTCTTGAAGTAATCGCTCATCTCTTGAAGGTTTCATTCTGTCTTTTTAAGCTTCTTTTCTATGTTTTTGACAGTTTGGGTTAGTTCTATATTTGGTTCTCAAGCTCTGACATTCTATCTTCTGCTTGGCTAATTCTGCTTTCCATACTTATCAGTCTGTAATTCATTTCATTCACAGTATTCCTTACTGGTGCTATCTCAATTATCAACTCCTTCCTATTTTTCTCTTGTCTCTCCTCAATTCTTTTTATTCTCTCTATTAATGTCTTGATGTCTGGGTTTGCATGTGACCAGTCATTCTGGTGCCTCTTCATTGTTTGCATTCTGAAATCTGTTTTCTCAGTGTCTGAATTTCCAGGGGTTTGTGAGAGACTCATATTCTTCTTTTGGCTTTTCTTCATTTGTGTAGATTTTCCTCTCCCCCACCTCTCACTTGTTCTCCTCCTCTTCTTTAATTCTGTTTTTCAGTTATGGCAGGGTTATTTTTACTTCTTTTTCCTCAGTCTCCTATTCTTCCTTATGTGAATCCTCTGGCATTGTCCACTTCTGAAACTGGACTGTGGGTTGAGGGCTGGACTTTTTGCAGTTTTGGGATTTAGTTGAGGGGGAGCTGTGATTCAGAATCTATCTGCAGATCCCACTATCCACTGACAGGTGTATAAACACCCTGGAACCTACTTCCCACTGTCTTACAATCTGTCCATGCAGTGGGGTTTTAGGTTTGCTCCTTGGAACAAAATGAGGTAAGAAAAAGGAAAATACTGGAAGAAGGAAGGGGAGGGGGTCAACAGGAAGGTGGAGTGAGAGAAGAGTAAGGGGAAAAACAGACAGACATACCAGCTAACAAATGAAAGGAGACACAAAGACAGAAAAGAGAAAAAAAAATCCTAGAGCATACAGGTAATCTCACAAACACACAGTCCAACAAAATCCTGCCTATTGATGTACTCTTCCCCTCCACAAACAGGGAGTCTAAAGAATAGAAAGAAGAAAGAACAAAAAAAATCAATAAAATAAAAACAAAGCAAGTATAAAAACATTATCAAAACCAGAAAGAGAAAAAAAAAACCTAAAATAAAAAGCAAGCAAAAGTGAGCAAAACAAAGTCAAAAAGCAAAAATAAAAAATAAAAACAAGGAATCAGACTGGCTCTGAGGTCCTTCCTGTATGTCCAACATCCTTTCAGCTCAGATCTCTAGCCCCTCTCTTCTGTTCTTATCGAAGAAGATAAGGTTACTCATAGCTTGCCTACTTTGGGAGGGGAGCCTACTTTGGGGGGGGTGAGCCAGATCTGGGTTCACTCAGCTTGCTGTCTGTCAGATCTGAGTTGTCTGTGTCTGATTCGGCCTGGGGGAGGGGCTTCTGTCTCTCCCCATTTGATGAGATTACCTTAGGCAACAAGTTGGAGGCTTGCACAGAGCTGGGCGGGCCAATGCAAATCTCTGCCTGGTCCTGGGTCAAAGAAAATGACTGTGGTGGGCGGGTCTTCACTGGGCATGGACTCCTCTCTGGCTTTCCCAATCCTCTCTCTCCACTAATGAGATCTGGGGCTCCAGCTGATCAATTATGACAGGTGATGGTATGGGCCAGGCCTCAGGTGATGAAAATCAGCTAGATTCAGCAGGCTTTTCTCAGGTGTGTTCCCGCCAGCAGCAGACAATCCTGTGAGTGATCTTGCCAGTTGTGCTCCAATCTCAGGGTGGTGGGGGCTTGCAGTCACCCTCAGAGGGGGATCTGGGAGCATGCACCCGAGTATCCCCTGAGACGGACTTTCATGCTCTCACCAGCACCCACCCACTAGCTCACAGAGTCTTTATGAACACTTGCCTCCACGGAGACTCTTACAGTCTGACCTATTGGTTACCATCTTAAGCTCTGCCCTCAGGTTCCCTTATTAATGTTATGTGTCCCCAGCCCTCCCTTGGCAGTTTCTGGCTACTGCCAATCCCTTTCTTATAGTATTATGATAAATGTTCAGGGTCCACTTATGAGTGAGAACATGTGGTACTCAGTTCTTTGTTTCTGTGATAAATCACTGAATATTACATACTCTAAATCCATCCAAGTTGCTGCAAAGTCCATAATTTTGTTCTTTACAACTGCATAATACTCCATTGTGTATATGTACCAATTTTTTTTTATCCAGTCCAGTTTTGATGGGCAGCACGGTTTGTTCCAAGTTTTTGCTGTTGTAAATAATGCTGCAATAAACATGCATGTGCAGGCATCTTTCTTGTAGAGTGATTTAAGTTTCTCCGGGTATATTTCCAGAAGGGGGATTCCCAGAAGGGAGATTCCCAAAAGGGGATTGCTAGGTCATATGGTAGGTCAATTTCTTTTTTTTTTAAGAATCACGACATTGTTTTCCATAGAGGCTGAACTAGTTTACATTCCCATCCACAGTGTAGAAGCGTTCCCTTTTCTCTGAGTCCTTGCCAGCATCTGTTGTTTTTAGTTTTATTAACTATGACCATTTTTATTGGAGTTAGGCGGTATCTCAATGAGGTTTTGATTTGCATTTTTCCAATGATTAGTGAGGTTGAGCACTTTTTCATGTGTCTGTTGGAGGCCCATATATCTTTTTTTGAGACGGGTCTATTCATATCTTTTGCCCACTTTTTAGTGGGGCTGTTTTTGTTTTTTTGTTTTTTTTTCTTTCAGCAAGTTTAAGTTGCTTGTAGATCCTGGATGTTAGGCCTTTGCCAGAAATGCAGTTGACAGATATTTTTTTCCAATTCTGTGGGCTCTTTCCCCACTTTCTTGATGTTTAATTTTGCTTTGCAGAAGGTTTTCAGTTTGATGAGGTCCTACTTGTCTATATTATCTCCTATGATGTGGGCATTTGGGGTTTTGATCAGAAATTGGTTGCCTATTCCAATTCCCATAAGGGTGTCTTCTACATTTTCTAAAATTCTTAAAGTTTGGGGTTTTACATTTAGGTCTTTGATCCATTTGGAGTTGATATTTGTGTATAGTGATGGGTAGGGATCCTGTTTAATTCTTCTGCATATGGTCAGCCAGTTTTCCCAGCACCATTTACTGAATAGGTTCTCCTCTCCCCAGTGGTTGTTGTTAGAGGCTTTGTTGAAGATGAGTTGGCTGAGAAATTGCAGTTTTGCTTCCGGAATCTCCATTCTGTTCCATTGGTCTGTATGCCTATTCTTGTACCAATATCAGGTGGTTTTGATTATTGTAGCCTCATAATAAAGTTTAAAGCTGGAAGTGTGGTAACTCCTATTTTGTTTCTTTTGCTAAGGATTGTTTTGGCTATACATGGTCATTTATGTTTCCAAATGAATTTCTATATTGCTGTTTACAGGTCTAGAAGAATGATGTTGGTAATTTAATGGGTATAACATTAAATCTGTAGATTGCCTTTGGTAGTATGGGCATCTTAACAATGTTGATTCTTCCAATTCATGAGCATGGAATATTTCTCCATTTGTTTGGTTATCTTTGACCTCTTTAAGTGGTGTTTTATAATTTTTGTTGCAAAAATCTTTCATTTCTCTGGTTAGGAAGATGCTGAGGTTTTTCATTTTTTTCGTGGCTATTGTGAATGAAATTGTGCTTTTTATTTGGTTCTCTGCCTTCTTGTTTTTGGTGTATAAGAATGCATCTGTCCTTTGCACATTTATTTTGTACACTAGACTCTGCCAAAGTCTTTTATCAGTGCAAGGAGGTTTGGGACAGATTCTCTTAGATTTTTTGAGGAATAGAATCATATTGCCAGCAAAAAGGGATAACTTGACTTCTTTTCCTATTTGGACACCCCTGGTTTCCTTCTCTTGTCTGATTGCTCTAGCTAGGACTTCCAACACTATGTTGAACAGGAGGGGTAAGAGTGGGCAGCCTTATCTTTTTCGGGTATTCAGGAGAAATGCTTCCAATTTCTGTCTATTTAGAAATATGCTGGCTGTGGGTTTATCATAGATAGTTCTTACTATTCTGAGGCATGTTCCCTCTATGTCTAGGTGTTCCAGGGTTTTTATCAAGAAGGGATGCTGGATTTTATTGAAAACTTTTTCCGCATCTAATGATATAACCAGGTGGTTCTTGTTTTTACATCTGTTGATGTATTTAATTACATTTATGGTCTTGTGGATGTTGAACCAATCCTGAATCCCAAGGATGAAGCCTATTTCTTCTAATCCTATACCATCCTTCCAGCAAAAATGATTGAAATACAAATCAAAATATTATATCAGTAGTTTTCTATGGCATTCTTAGCCAGAGTCGGAAGTCATAGATCTTTAATCTAAAATCATTCAAGCAGGGAGGTAAAAATTATAACATGGAGTGTCAGAAAAATCACAAATTTATTTACTACAGAGCCTAGAAATGAAGTAGATTTGCTGATATCAAAATGTCTTAATCCAGCAATATGGGGCAAAACATAAAATGGAGATAAAAGGTTGCTTTTTTTTAATTAGTGACTTTGCAGGTCAGATAAAATTTTGTATCCATAATCTAAAAATATACCTAAAAACCTAATCATAATCATACTGTTTTTATTGCATATAATATTTTGGTAATTGTGAACATGCTGGAAAAACCTTTATATAAATAATAAATATGTATAAAATTTCTAACAACATAATTAGTAAGCTTTTCAATAAGACGTCTAATAGTTCAATAAGTCATATCAGGAGCTTACCATTGTTTCTAATTACACGAGTCTGCTGCTTTATCTGATCATTTGGCACACCAAAAACTTCTATAATCACTAATGTGTTAGTTTTGTTAGATGACGAGTTAATAATAGGCAACTGGATACCACTGATGAGCTGTACAAATGTATATAAATGTAAGAATTTAGAAGAATACCAAACTATATCACCAGTTAATTTCAAAGTAAAATGATATATTTCAAAAAAAGTTCATAGTCTCTAAGTGAGTTTTCACAAAAATTGAAGCTAAAAAATCAGGCAAATTTTGAAGTTTAATTTCTTCATTTACAAATATCAGTAGATAAATACCAAGAATATTTCCAAATCATTCTATTTTACTGAAATGTAATTATAGTTAAATCCACAATGTCCAAGTTTTATGGTTTACTAACATATTTAATGTATTTGGTATGCCCCCCTTAATGTAATTTAAGTTGAGTTATTTTGATAATATGTACTATTTTCAAATTCATGTTACATATGATATAAAAAATTAAAATCAATATGAATATTACTTCTCAAGTGTAAAAAAACACTATATAATTTCCCATTATAGCATTTTCTGATGGTAGATTTTGTGCTTAAATAACTTATGAAATTTTACATTATTCATTTATATATATATTATTATGATAAATAGCCTGAGTCTGACAAAATCAATTTCTTCATGTGTTTGCTAGGGACTGGGTATTATAACAATACCTAATAAAGTAATTAATAATGGTTTTATTTGGCCTTTTATTAACTAGGTTAACTTTTGAAGCAAAAATTTGTTCTACTTTAAGAAACTAAATAAGCACAAAAAATTATATTTTAAGTTTACTAACTTAGAGTAAGAGATGGAAGATATAAACCTAAAAATGCAGTTATATAAATTGAGACACATTCCAATTTCTGAAGATTATATAAAAATAAACAAGTAATTCAGTTTGATTAAAAAAAGAAATCAGGAAAAAATAGGATGGAAGGAGGGAGGGAGGAGTGAGGGGGAAGAAGAGAAAAGAAAAATTGTGAATGTGTAATTTTTCTTTTCCTAATTCTACACACTAGCTGGAAGCCAAAGTGACTGTGCAAATATTTAGCAATCGGTATGGAATGGGCATCAAGCATTCAGCATAATTAGACATCAGAATAGTTACAGCAGTAGCCATAAACATATAATACACTAGTCCTAAATACATACCTAAGTACAAAACAGCTAAATATCACTCTGCAGATAATAGACCCTTACCAAAATAGAAAAGATTCAGCTTGGTGCACCTAATTCTAAAAAAACTATTGTCTAATTTAGAAAAACATAACAGAACAGGAGAACCGTAAGAAAATGTAGGAACTAATTGTTAAATAATTTGTAAACTCTAATTCACAAAGCTCTTCCAGAAGCCACTGTGGAGGGAGGGATGTCAAACAGAAAGCCCTCTCTGGTCAACCAGAATAGCTCTGCTTTCATTCATTGGCTTTACACATAAGATTTTTAATTTATTAGGTGGTTTCATGGTTTTTATACATTCAAAAATAATTTACCTAGACCAAACCTCTCAGTTTGCAGATGACAAAGAGTAAACTAGAAGTGTTGAATACTTTCATCAGGCACATAAGAAAACTGACCCCTAACTTCCAGGTCAAGTCCTCCACAATTTGTGCTAGTCATAAAATAATCACAAAGATCCCTAGAATAATCAAAGCAAAAAAAATGACTCGTGGCAGTAATCTTTAGCTCTGCCTGTTTCACTCCGTGTCATTCACACCTCAACACAAGACTCCTCAGAACACAAACATGTGACATTTGTAAGCATCTGTGCACACTACTAACATCTACCTTCACTTTATCAATAAAAGAGCACATATGTTTCCTTTGCTATTCTCAGCAGGAAAAAGCAATCATTCACTCAATAAACCTACATGAGTTGAGCATGGGTGGGCTCCTTGCAGTACAGGCTTCCTCCACTAGGTAACTGTTCCAGGAATTCGCTGGCATCAGTCTACCAGCTAGCATTGTTGTGAGAGACTGAGTTAGGCTTCAGTGAATTTTTTTTCTTTGTGAGATTCTTTTAATGCTTTTGCCCATTTCATGATGAGTGATTTATGCGTGCACCTGCCCACACCTCACTAAGTGTTTAGTAGTTTTTGACCAAAAACAGCGTGACCGCCATGCCCCCACCTCCCTATTCACCTGCTCATGCCCCAAGCAAGTTTTTTGTTTTTGTTTCCCCAGATGAAAAGAGTCCTCAAAGGGAAATGGTTTGCCCATGTGGAAGAGGTGAAACAAAAAATGACAGAAGCCCTAAAAGGCATCAAAATTGATAAGTTCAAAAACTTGTTTTGAGCAATGGAAAAAATATCTTAATAGGCATATTGCAGTGAACAGAAAGTACTTTGAAGGCGACTGAAATTTAAACATGTAAGAATAAATACACAATTTTTTATAAATAAATTCTGGGGTTTTTCCGGTCCCTGCCCCCCAAATACTTTGTGTCAGGCACAGTGAATAAGGATTGGACAAAACACAGCTCTTATCCTTAAATAATTTTCAGACAAATGGCTGAGAAGGACAATTAACAAGTAAATAAATGATTATCATATAGTGTAATAAATGTTATTGTATTTATTAACATACATAGGGCATTATCACAAAAAAACCTATAAAAAATAAGCACAACTAACCTATCCTAGGAAAATGTTTCCAAAAATAAGTGATTCCTAAGTCTTGAAAAGTGAGTCAGAATGTAATAGACAGGTGAAGAGGGGACAAATAGTCCAGTCAGAGAAAAAATATGCAATTTATGAAGATGAATCATGATCAGAGAAGGATCCAGCTTCTATATGGTTATAGAGTAGGGTGAAAGGCTTGAAGTGATGAGACATAGGGCTAGACAAGAAGGCCATGGCCTGACTAACACAGCAATTAAGAGACAAATAAATATTAAGTATGCATGATCTAAGTGGCATTGTAGTAAAATCTCTCTGGTCAACTTGTGGAGGATGGCACAGAAGGACTAAGACAAACTACCTGAAACCTTTAGGAAGTCAAAGAAATAGACCTGATGATAGGTAGTAAATTCTCTAAACAGGACAACAGCAAAGTAGGTTAAGCCAAGAGAATGAATAAGGAAGACATTTAGGAGTACAATAAATAAAATTTAAAGATGGTTTATATATGAGAAGTGAAGATGTAGAAGATTAGAATGGTTCCCAGTTTCCTAGTTTGAGCTGAGTGGGGGAATGGGAACATTCACTGATACTTAAATAAAATAGTACAAGTAGATTTGACAAGGAAGGGATGTTCAAGTTTCAATATTTTAAGTTTAACAGGTTGGTGGTTAAACAAGTAGGAATGCTAAGTAGGCTATTGAAATATGCCTTCAGATTCCAAAAATGAGGTTAGATTAAAAATTTGAGCATTTTCAAGGATGAAATCATAAATGTTTTTATAACAGAACCCAAGTAGAATATTTAGTTTGAGATGAGAATTAAGAAAAAGCTTTAGGGTAACTCACTTGGGTCCCCTCCCACTTTGGGAGCTTTTCTGTCCTCTCAATAAATCCTGCTTTCTTAAAAAAAAAAAAAAAAGAAAGAAAGAAAAAAAGAAAAAGCTTCAGTTAGGCAGCATAAATATTTTAATGACAGGTAGAAAAAAGAGGAACTCATAAATGAAAATGAGAAAGAATCACTTGGGAGGTAGGGAAAAAAAAGAGCACAGACAGGAGATTTGTGTGGAGTAGGGAGGGATCTTCAAAGTGGCTGATTTGCCTCTTCTTCTTAGATCAACCATAAAAAAATACAAAAAGGACGCCAATGCCCACATTGTAATAATATTACAAAGTAAGCTCAATAGCTAATACCTTGTCAGATTCTAGAAAGAATGTTAACCAATCAATTGTGGGTTGCATCAGCTGTCGTAGACCATGTCTGCCTATCCACTATGTGCTCCTACTTTAGAATCACAAAATCTTTAACAGCCAATAGAAAAGTCTGCAACATACCTCATGGCACTGTCTCCTGCAAGAGCCAGGGTCTTTGCAGTCCTGTTCATTTTTGATAGACTCTCTTCCACGTTAACTTTTGGAAAACAACTGTCAAACCTTCTATCCTCAGCTGGGATTAAATGGCTGGAGCACGAAGCAGGTGAGTGTGGTTTCCCAAATCTCATGATGTAGTGACGGTGGGGGAAGGAGCTGAGCTAGGAAGAGTCATGGGAGAAGCACACTCTGAAGGCCTCAGCATTTCCTGCAGAGTCACCACCAGATAAGGGGGAGCAGTGGGACACTCACAGCCAGCAGTGCCAGAAGAGCTTCACTAAGTAATGACATGAGACACAATAATCTGGCCAGGGACAGCAGCATAGGTTTTTACAAAAATTTCACAATAGAATCTCAGATGGTTTATATGGTTCTGGGAGCAACTAGTAAAATAGGAAGAAAGACCAAAGAGACCATATCCACCCTATTTATTTGCAAACAACAGGTACAGATACAGTCTAAAATACAATTACTCATAATTAAACGGGGAGAAAAAGCAACTAGAGGTTTTTCAAACATTCAGTGGCATTGTAAAAAGGAAATAAACATAGCACTTAGGTTACAAAAAAAAAAGAGGTTTTGAAAAGCCTTTACTAATGGAAACAAATTATAGGCAACTGTTTTTGCATTCAACACAATTATACAGGAGGTAATAAGAACAAAACATGAAATAATAAGGCAAGAGTACGGGGGAAGGGTGCAGGGCATGATATACACAGAAATAAAAGGAAACAATATGAGGTAAGCAACAATTGGGAAAAAAACTAAAAATGCAGGAGAAAAAATATTACCTCTATGTTAAAATCAATAAAGAATAAAACTGACTACAGAATCTGAATCATCAATGCAAAGAATAAACGTTAAAAGCTCTCCCAAAATGTAGAGGAAAAGGGAACATGACAAAATAGACACAAATTAGTAGCCATAGAGGACAGATACCAGAGAAAGGCATATAGATACTTTTTCTTTAAGTAATCAAATCATATTCAGAGATATGTGAGGAAAAATATTGAATTACAAAAGTCTAACACTGGAGATTAGGAAAAGAAAATAGTTCCTAGAATTTCTTGGTAAAATTCTTTAAAGTAAAAGGAGGAAAAATGGCATAGTCACAAGGTAATTTGTGGGCTGAACTGAGACCTCTCTATCATGATATTCAATGCCTAAATACAATAAAATGATACAAATAGGACTTGGAGAGGAGAATATTTTAGCCTCAATATTTCTATTCACAGGCGGATAATTATTCTTGCAGAAATGTAACAGGAAAACATGTTTCAGATACAGATTCTGAAGTACCACTCACCTATAATACTTGAAAAGATTAACAGAAATGTAAAAGGCATTAAAGCAAATCAATGAAATTCAGAATCCTAATGTAGCACTATCTAGTTCATATAACCAAAAAATGTAAAACAAAAGTTATTATTCTTACCCTTATTGTAAGTGTAATTGGGCTGGTGTCTTTTACTTGATTTGGGCTAAAGTTTGATTTAACATCTCTTAGGAATTGTGGTTTTAAAATATATCCAGAACTGCCATTATCCAAAAATTTCCCATTCTGTAGGTCCATAGGCAGACCAGGGGTCTGGAAATTTAAAGCCACTGTGAGAAAGAAGTATTTTGACATTGTATGAGCATAATAAAAGAAATACTTTAATTTTTAATTAAATGTTAAATTTTAATTAAGTCAAACATTTAATGAAATCTAATAATGGATTATATATCTCCAAGTGCTCTATGAACAAGCATCATTAGCCTAATAATTCATGATTTTTAAACTTTTTTCCTCCTGCTATGTTTATATTAATGTGTATTGACAGGTTGCAAAATTTAATCTGTAAATTAAATCATTATTCAAAACCTTCGAGTAAAGAAATAAAAATGGTACCTGGTATAGATTACAGAATAGCAATGTACATGTCAGTTAACATTTAAAGAATTTGAGAATTACAAAAATCAGTACATTTAATGCAGGAATGAAGACACCAACTACATCATAAACTTTCAGATTCAAGAACTGCTGCTGTCACTTGAGAAGAAAGTGAGAACAGGATGAGTAACAATTATGTACTTCAATATAGGCTGGTAAGTAGTCACCTAGACTGTAATGCCCTCCATCTCCCACCTGTTCCCTCTCCTCTCCTCTCTTCTCAAACCTATGTTCCTTGCCACATTCAGAAGAAGAAGAAGAGTTAAGGCCTGGCACTTTGTAACTGCTTAGTGCAGTGCTGTACTCGCTGTGCAGTTTGGAATAAAAAGAATCTAGTGAGGACAGAAACAAAGCTGTGCAATCTCATTCACTTTTCAAGACTATGTATGTCGAAGTTCATAGAAAGCACAAATGATAGAGGTCACCTGACCTGAAGAGGCCTTAAGCATATCTTTCAAGCAAAGAATTGAATCTTCAATGTCCTCTGATGTCCATTTTTGTTTTATTGTTCCCTTCCTCTACCACACATACCCCATGCTAACTTCTCATGAATTTAACCCCCATGCCCAGTCCTCACCTAGATTTGCCCTTTCTAACCCATTAGGAACGACTTCAACTCTTAAAAATTAATGATTCACCATTAGTGCCTGACCCTAAAGCCCGGGTCAAAATATCTTCATAGGAAGACTTCTTCATGAATTTTTCATAAATTCATAAAAATTCATTTTATATTACTTTTGCAAACAACTCAATATCCTACATAACATACCCATTTGACAACCTATATTCCAAAATTCTTGAGGATTAAAATTAGAAGAGTCCGCTCTTATTGCTTTGGGATATATTCTGGTAATGAACTTCTTGGTGTGAAAAATAAACTCATGGACTGAAAAACAAATTATTAAGTCATTGTGAAAGATTCAAAATAAATTAAATAAGCTACTATTTCTATATATATATCATATAATTCTATAATAGAGTCAATACTTTTATATGTATTATCTTCTCAAGAATATGTATGACTCATGAAAATCAAAATAAATTCATGCACTTGTGTTTACAGTGTAATCAGTTACCAAGACATTAACAATAATTGTTTTACACAATTTATGTACACTGATCATCCATTTGAGGAAAAAATGGATTAGGTAATTTCTATTATTTCACATCCAAATTAATTTTACTTTGATATAAAAATACATAAAATTCAAAAATAAAATGTTTTTTCAAAACAGAAGCAGCATCTTTTCTTATTGTGTTCATTTTCACATTAGGACAGAACCACACATAAGTCATATAAAGCTGTATGATTCTCAGGGCTGAAAGGGACCTTAAAGTTATCTATTTCACCTCCTAACCTCTTCATTCCAGCATCTTCTCCCAAAATTCATTTATTCTCTGTTTACATCACTCCATTGAAAAACTCACTATTTCACAATACTTTTAATTATTGCAAGTGTTTTCCTTACTTAGATAATGTCCATGTACTTATAGTTTATATATATACATACATGTATAAACACACACATACAGTATGAGTTTTTATATATGTTCTTTATGTTTCTAAGTATCTTTTCTATTTAAATCACTTGAGATTCAAAACAAATTTATACTATTTACCATTTGACACCACTTCCAATTTTTGAACACAAATTTGTTGTTTCTCCAAAGTTATTCTTCTTTTACTAAACAGATCCTATTCATACAATCATTCCTATTAATATGGTGACCAGTTATGGAACAGATGGGCTCATGACCCACTATATTTGCTAGTCAAACTAGAATAAAATCATTTATCTTCCTATTTTCTAGAAGTATAATCAAGTTTAAAAAAAGCTATTTTTATCAATATCTATTTTTTTTTAAAGTTACACACTCCTTGAGATAGTTGGTTTTGAAACCACTCATGTATAAATGTAAAATGAGTGCCCAAGTATCAAGCTTCCTTATCTAGTCCTAAGGGATGTCTGTCCTCAGGCAAAACACATACTCTCCTAGGTCTTAATGTTTCCCATCTACAAAGTGATAAATATAAATGATCACTAAAACCCTTATCATAATATGATTTTGTTACTTCTGAAATCAACCTTTAGAAATTAAACACGTTTGGTATTACAAATGCAATTCATGTTCATTTTTAAAATAGGAGAAAATCAAATAAGAAAAAAAGAAGAAATCAAAGCACGTGTAATATAATATCACTCAATTAATAACTACTGATAGCTCTTTAATACATATATTTCCACTTTTTTGTAAGCATAAACTATTGTTTAATCAAATAATATTGTTTATTCCCTTTTACAAACTTCCATTTTTTACTTACTAAAATAAATTCAATAATATTCATCTACAACATTATTTTTAATGACACTTGAAAAGTTTATAATAATAGTAGGCATCCTTACAGTTAAACCTTTGCTGACATCTTAATCATTTACTATTGACTTTTGGCGCAAGAAAAATGCTCTATACTATTTCCAAGAGATGGTGATTTTATACTTTGTTGCTACTCAAAAGTATCCGAGCTCTTTCTAATTGTTTTGCAAGTGTTTAATATTATGAGAATTAGAGAATTATAATTACTTTTGCTGCACCTGGAGGTCTTGTCCTCATTTTTAAAAAAACAACTATCTAATAGTTTGTAGGAACAGAGGCTAGTAAAGCAGATCATTCAAACTCTTTTAGCCATACCTTACAGTAAGAAATACATTTTACATCATAACCAATACACACACACAACATGCACAATTGTTTCATAAAACAGTACTTACTACTTATAATATACACTTCTCTATTTTGTTCTACACACTCGATCATATTCTATTATTTATCTGTACTGCAGATCTACTAAACCGATTTTTGGTAACAACCCTAGCACCAGTGACCAGCCCAATGTGGTTAATTATTAAATTATTTAATAATTAACTTGAGTTGCACTTCCCAACTCAAGTCAGTTGCAGGTGCTAATTTTCCTGCTGTGGTGTTTTTACTCACAATGATAGATAAAAAACCTTCTGAGAAGCATTTGTAGAGTCATCTGGTTGTTAAGTTACTAGCTAGTTGCCTATTCCAGTTTAAATTTGGGACATTCCCTACCATATGAGTATGAGAAGGAGGTGGGGTCTGCTTCCAAAACTCTTTCTCTAGCACTGTTTCACCTTGGGCACTGCCAAACAAATAATCACCTCAGATTTAGAACCAGAAGGCAGATAAAAGAAAATGCAGAGACAGATGGTACCTCTGGGGGTATGCAGTGGTCCACGCTCTGCACAGCCAACTGATAATCTGACCTAGGCACCACTTTCTCCCTCTCCTTCACCTTATGTATAGAGCCTCCAGTCTAATTAACTCTACCTCTTCGAAACTTATTAAATCCACAAAGTTCACCCTGTCTTCATTCTCACTGCCATAAACTTTTATTGCTTCCTTCCAACCTGCAGTCTCACCTTTGACTGCTATCAGGGGCATCTTTCAGAAACACAGTGATCACACCACTCCTGAGATTTCAGTCTTCTCCTGCTCACATTTGCTCTCAGGATACAGCTGAAGCATCTTGTAATCTGCTTCTCCTGCTTCTACAGCCCTGTCCCTGCTGCTTCATATACACTGCTTAGCAGCCCATTCACAAAAATGTCCACACCAGACATCCTCAATCAAAATGTCATGACTTGGATGAGCTAATTAGTAGCTAAATTCTATGAAATAAAACTTAATGTAACCTGAGGCATGTTATCCCCTTATTTAAACACCTCATCTGTTTGTATCATAAAAATTTACCTTTCAACTTTGAAAGTTTTCGGGCTTGTGACTCCCCAATAGAATTATTTTCATTAAATTGTTGATGCAGTCTTGAATATTGAAAATTTCTGAACTTCTCAGGTTTAGTATAAATGACAAGATCAGATAAGGCCAGAGCAATTTTTACCTTCCTGGTCTAAAAATAAAATGCAGTTAATTTCACATTTTTACATTAATCATTCAAAAAAATCTTTTCCAATAAAGAAAACATGCTTTCAAACGGATGATTTTAGTATTTTCATAAGATTATCTCCTCAAAAACTATTTGAATTAAGTCAATGTGATTACTTTTTTATAACTAAAATATTTCATGTTAATGTAAACTAGCTTAAATGTAAAATCCCAATTAATGTAATAAATATTAAGGATCACAATTATTACTATTTTTCCCTGAAGATCTTAATTTATTTTCATGAATTTTACAAATTTAGGAATTTTAGTCATAAATAAGTATATCTCTTGAGCTAACATTTTAGAATGACTTTTATTATATAGTGAACATTTGTCCTTTTTTCAACCCATCATCTACTTTCATCACATCTACTTTACACCTGTTATCCACTTTCCAAGTTTTATTTTGGGAAAACATTCCTTGCTTGTGCTCAATCCCAGTATGGATTATGAAGTCTGGACCTGACTAAGCAGAGTTTTGCATTCTCTAAGCAATAGGAATGGGTTCAGGGATGTGCGTGTTCCTGGATCTGAACCAATGTACAAAAAAAAGTTGCTTGCTCTACTGAGAGATAGAGATTCCTCTGGATTTGAACCTGAAATGAAATAAAGCTGAATTTGTGCAATAGTCTTACACCAATACAAAGAAAGCAGGACCAAAATTGGGGAAGGAACTAAAGTTCTGTTGGCTTTGAGACACTATACCAAGTCATTCTTGAAATTAAAATCCTTTTCACTGAACTTTTCATTTATGTAGGTTAACTAATTATCATTTTGTTTAAACCAGCTGGATTGGTTTTAGTCATATGCAACCCAGTAAATGTTTTTGTAATCACACTAATGTGTATATTTATAACACTGCCTATTATATACATTGATTTTCTTGTCTCTGTCTTTATTTGAGAAAAGAGAAATTATTTTGCTTATCTCTGTATCTTTTGCATTCTTCACAATGCCTAGTGCATAAGAGTGCATAATATTTTTGACCATAGAGAAAAAAAATGTAAACCCAGCTAACACAGGAAGAGGCAACTTTTAAAATTTCTCTTCCACTATCATTTTTTTTCAAAGTAAATTGTAAATGATAAGCTAGAGTTTTTGCAGGAAGGAAAAAGATTTTTCTCTCTAGAAGTGTTTTAATTCTCCATGAGTGAAAATATTAGAAAACTTTTCAGTCACTTGTATGATTTTCACAAAGTATCACCTCACCTTCTTTTTCTTGAAAAGTGTTACTCCGCGTGCCTTTTTTGCCTCAGTTTCCGTGTCTTGATCGTCTTTTAAAATATTATCAGATATTTCTAATTCTTTGGATTCATCGTCCTCTAGATCCAGATCTGGCACTTCCTCTTCCCATTCCTCCACCTTACCCCGTTTGTCGGAACCTTTCCTTTCGTGGGTTTCCTTTAAGGTTCCTATTTTCTTATTCTTAACTAATACTTTGAATTTTAGTGCCTAAAGAAACAATTTTGAAAGAGAGATACAATTACGCATTTACAATTAAGTTTGCATTTAATTCATCATATTTTCAATTACCTTATAATACAAAATATGGTAGAGACCTATCTTTTCCTGAATCCCTATTCATACCTCATTAGAGGAACGAATACAGTGATATTATGTATTCACCCTGAGTCACCAAAAAATAAACCCGCTATGATTGGTATTTACTGTATGTGATCGCTTTTATATTCCACAAACTTGAAGTATGTAAGAAGTATACATATGTTAAAATACTACCCACATTATTGCAGTTAAAATATTACAAATTCTGGAAGTAAATGCTTCAGGTCATCTCTCTCTTACTCAATGTTAAAAAGTATTAAAGGAGATTAGATATGTAAAAATTTCTATCATAGCATCTGGCATTTAGTATAGACTCAATTAAAGATTTGGAAAAGCTCTTCAAATTTCTCCTGTATTACAGACAAGCATCAACATAACACTTTCTACCCATCAAAACTAGGATCAAAGCAAAATTTCCGATCAGTGCCATTTATCCTAAATTCAAAGCCTTTTGCTTCCATTTCTCCACTTAGTTAACTCCTGCTTTTTTCAAAATTTCACTAATCAACAAATATATATAAGTGCCTGCTCCATTATAAACAATGCTGAAATCTGGATTATGAAGCAAAGTTCTTGCTCCAAGGAGCTTTGACTGTTCCTTCCCCTTTAACATTCTCAGATATTCACTCTAACTACTACATCATTTTGGGCTTTCTCTCTCTCACTATGCACTTTATAATACTCTCTAATAATATGGCATCTATCAAAGCGAACTCTGCAGTCACACACATCAAGAGTATTATTGGGGGTGTTTGTGAAAGCGACATATTCCTAGTATCTGCTTCAAAATTATGGAATCAAAATCTTGAATTGTGAGGCCAGAATTAGGCCTCCTTAACAAGTCTCCAGCAATTCTTTTACACAAAACCTGAATGCCATATGAGAAGGTGACTTTATTACTAATTTTTCATTTACTCATTCTACTCACTTTAGGGAAGCTAAAATTTTAATGAAAACTATGTATTGGAACATTAAAAAATGAATTTATATATAATAAGAGAGGGCATTTTCTTCCCAGAAAGCTAAAAATTATTATAATTTCCAGAATTGGACCATGACTCTTAGGTTTCATCTTTGATGATATGCTACCAGCAATTTGCAGAAAGATCTTTAATATTTCTTTTCCATCACAATTGAACACATTTAGTCTGTGAGCATTCTTATGAGGTGAGTCATGACTTTTTCATTTGTCACATAATTTATTTTTTCTGTCTCAGTTCTATCATGAGTTTTATACCTCTTGTCACTAGTGCTACAACACTTTCATTTTTTAATTTTTCACTCATTTAAATACAATGTAAAAAGAAAGTAAAATTTTAGGACCTCCCAAATTTATTATGCCAAGGGGAAAAGTTAAACCCCAGAAACTGGCCGGGCTTGGTGGCTCAGCCTGTAATCCCGCACCTTTGGGAGGCTGAGGTAAGTGGATTGCCTGAGCCCGTGGGTTCGAGACCCGCCTGGGCAGCAAGACCTCATCTCTACAATAAATCAAAAAAATCAGCTGGGCTTGGTAGCGCATGCCTGTAATTCCGGCTACTCGGAAGGCTGAGGCGGAAGGATCGCCAGAGCCCAGCAGGCGAGGCTGCGGTGGTCAGAAGCAGCCACTGCACTCCAGTCGGGGCGACTGAGTGAGACTCCAACTCAAAAAAAAAAAATCCCGGAAATTTAGTCATGTAATATGGCTGTTTTTCTTCTCTGGTGTTTGACCTTTGTGTTGGGATGTTATACACTAACCAGACTCCTTATTCTTCATTCAAACTAGACTAAACGACATTAGAGATAAAGAACCATGTGACTGTTACCTTTTTACAATGGAATGTTAAGCAACTCCCTTAGAGTATAATCAATAGCAGCCAGTCAGATACACATTAGCTATAGTGTGGAAAATGTAAATCTGTTCAGCATCTTCATTTTTGCCTGTATAAGTGACTTTCATCTTCCCCACACAGTGAGCACCACTCATCACCATTCTTTGGTGTCTGTGTGTGTCCCCGACAGTTACCCTTATAACTTGCATTCGAATAAATTTTTAATTGAATCCCAAGTCTTTTGATTATTTTAAGTTGACAAAGATCATTAAAAATACAAAGGAGTGTATTCAAATATTTCAGCAACATTGCTATATTTACCCAAAATGATGATATATCCAAACTAAACTATTGGTTGCTTCCACACACCAGAAAAGAGTTTATTTATCTTCTGATAAAATTTGAGGTAAGAAGAAAGAGTCAAAGGAAACTAAGAAGGTGTGGCCAGAGAGGAATAAGAAAAGCCTAAAGAAAGTGTTGTTACAGAAGAAAGTGTTTCAAGGAGAGGAAAGAGGTACCCGCAGTATTGAATGTTGCTGAGGGAACGAGTCAGATGAAAACCGAAATAGGTCCACTAGAATGTATTGGTAAGAAAGTTTATGTCAATAAGACATTTACTGTGGAGCGGTTGACAGAAGAAGAGGAATTAGTCAAGTTGCTAGAAGATGAGAATATGTAAATTTAGTATTCCTGTGAGAGGAATACTCAAGAGACTGCTGAAAAAGGAAGTGAAATCCTGATGGTAGAGGTGGAGGGGTGCTTTTTCAAACCTAATACTTGGGTATGCAAATTAAGACAGAAAGGGGACCTAGAGAGAGGGTAATTAAAGAGCAGCTTGTAAAAGGGGGAAAGTGTTACCCAGCAGCTAAGATATTAGATAGGAACTCTATTCATAGTCTAGACTTTCAGCCTCTATTTTAGCCTTTTGCCTATAAAATATACCAAATTCCTGGGGCCTAATACCAATTGTCTTCCAATTGTGGATCCATGAGGTATGACACACAATCAAAATGTGGGTTTTACATAGATCTCTATGTATTCTCTTCGTCAAAATATATTCACCTAAAAGCTCATGGGCACACTTCCTAGGCAACACATTGCAAAAGATACACCACTATGAATAATCAAAATTAAGCACTTTGGTCTCTAACCCAGTTTCATAGGCCAGCGTAACAGTGGCATGTCTTTATGTTTTGCTTTGTTTTTACTTAACCTGAGCTTCTCCGAAAATGTTACCTCTGGTGAAGGTAGTCTATCTGGAAAATCATCAAGCATATCAGAAAGCAGGGACTCTCCAAAAATAGTCTGCAAAATATCTGCCATCACTTCTTGTTGAGAAGGGGAGCAGTGATTTTCTAGAGACAGCACCACTGGGTACTCAGATGTCTAAAAAATGAACCATTACTATGGTTATTAATCAGAACTTCTAAATATTTTTAATGCAATTAATGTAAGTGCTTAATCTAAAACTTACTTTTAACGTTCAGTATCTTTGCAAAATAAATATTCTTTAAACTGAAAGTACTTTTGAGTTTGACTAAACAGGGGCCATTAAATACATATAAAAAAATTATTACTATTTACACCAAAAGTATAGGAAACAACTGAAGCATCCATCAGTGGATTCTTGTTTGAATAAATTATACCACATCTATATAAAGGAATAATATAGACTGATTAAGTTATATATGTACACGCATATTTATACATATAAAGTTATCTATAATCTTATGAAGAAAAGCAAGTTATCAAAGAGCAATATTCTATATTTTTATTTTTTATTTTTAAAATATACACATATTTAGATATTAAGAAGATATTTAGGTATAAGACAAATCTTATTACCACAGGTAAGCTGGGAGATTTATTAATTGAAGATGAGTCTACAAAGGTATATTCTGCCCTTTCTTACCAAACATCAAAATTTGCCACAAAATAGAGAAAAAGATATTTTTGGCTCTTATTCAATATTTTTTCTTTGTTTTGACTTCTTGTATATTTATCAGGGCACAAAGTTATCAACTTGTAAACAAGTCAGGGAATTGCAAGGTTTGCTGCATTTTCACAGATCTCAGAGTAGGACATATGATAACTTTCTAATGTATGAGTATATGCATTTCCTATGATTGCTGTAAGAAATTGCTACAAACTTGGAGGCATAAACAACAAAATGTATTATCTCACTGTTCTGCTCAACAGAAGTCTGACTAGAGTTTTCATTGGTCTAAAATGAAGCTTTTGGCAAGGCTGCATCCCTCAGCAGGCTCTAGTGGAGAATCTGTTTCCTGACTCTTCCAGCTTTTGGTGGCTGCCGACATTCCTTGGCTTGTTGCCACATTGCTATAATCTCTGTCCTCATCTTTACTTTGCCTCCTCCTCTGGTTTGACAAATCTCTCTCTAGCTCCTTCTTATAGAAGTACATATGATGGTATTTGGGGCCCACTCAGATAATCTCCCCACCCAGAGGTCTTTAACGTCATCACATCTACAAAGACCTTACCAAATAAAGCAACATTTACAGATTCCAATAATTAGAACCTATATCTTTGGGAGTCCTTAGCCTACTACAGTGACTTTCTCAACTATACAAACAGGCTAGTGCGTATGTCTACTGTCTCACTCAAACATCAACAGACTAGTGTAAAGTTCTTTCCAAATATAATAAGTTATTTGAGAGTGAGCAAAGTGATGATCCAGCAAGTGGATTCCTCCATGAAGAGCTGATTTCATTGGCATGGTAGGTTCATTTTTCTCTCTTTCTGGTTCCATCTCTAGGAAGATCCACTTGTCTTTCTTTTAGCCTCATTGACTTGTCAAAAGTGATGTTCAGAAGTTGGCTCTATTTAAAGCCAGGCAATGTTTGCAGCCTACTTCCTGACCAAGGACTGTTTTAAGGTTCACCCAAGAGTCAGATGTGTGGGAGTTTTGTGACAATAAAATTCTTTCAAAAACTTAGATTTTTTAAAATATATTTTTTCTAGTAAACTACACGCAACTAGACCCAAGGTCCTTTCCTGCTCATAGTTATCAAGTCTATTTAAATTCATATCCTCTCTTTCCCAAAGTAATAGAGATTTTCTTGAGTATAAAATCCAAACTTCCATCAGATCTATGCTGCAAAATTGTGTCATCTTGTTCAACTAAGAGGTCTCATTTAGTCTCTGTTGCTCAAAACTTTGTTTTAAATCTTACCTCCTCTTCTTTGTTTTTTTTAAAATAAATTTTGTTCTGTATATTTAAGAAATATATGTTATAGGATCAGTGTAGATAGTAAAAAGGTTACATAGTTAAGCAAATTAACATGTCCATCATCTTACATAGTTGCTATTTTTGTATACTTTTGTAGCAAAGAAAGCTAAAATCTACTCATTTTACATAAATACCATACACAGAACAATTTTATTTCCTATAGTCCTCATGTTTTACATTAGATGTCTAGACTCTTTCATCCTACATATCTGACCTACATATCTCATTTTCTCTCTCTTCCCTGGTAACCACTGTTCTCTATCTCTGTATATGTTATTTTATTTTTAGAATCCACATACAAGTGAGATCGTACATAATTTTCTTTCTATATCTGGCTTATTTCACTTAGCATAAAGTCCTCCAGACTCACCCATGTTGTGGCAAATAATATCTTGTTCTTTTTTTTAAGGCTGAATGATATTTCATTGTATATATGTACCACTGTTTATTTATCCATTTGTCTGTCAATGAACACTTAGGTTGTTTTCGTAAAGTGGTTATTGTGAATGATGCCGCAATGAGCTTGGCAGTGCAGGTATCTTTGCGAGTCAGTGATTTTGATTTGGGTACATGCTCAGAAGGGGGATTACTGGGCTATACAGTGGTTCTATTTTTAATTTCTTTAGAAATCTACATGCAGTTTTCCATAATGGCTGTACCAATCAACATTCTCACTAACAGTGTATAAGAGTTCTCTCTTCTCCACACCCTTACCAGCATTTGCTATCTTTTGATTTTTTGATAAGAGAACTTCTAACATGGTAAGAATGGGAAGGGATATCTCATAGGATTTTGATTTGTATTTCCCTGATGATTAATGATGCTGAGCACATTTTCATATACCTGTTGGCCACTTTTATGTCTTAGAGAAATGTCTATTCAAGTTTTGTTTTCTCGTTATTTAATTGGGTTATTTCTTTTTCCACTATTGAGTGGTATGTGTTCTTTACAAATTTTGAATATTAGTTTCTTATCAGATATAAGGTTTCCAAATATTATTTCTCAATTCATAGCTGCCCTTTCACTTTGCTGATTGTTTACTTATCTATTTAGTTTGATGTAGTCAATTTATTCTTCCTTTTGTGTCCTGAGTTTTGCTGTGATATTCAAAAAATTATTGCCAAGGCCAATGTCCAGGAGTTTTTCCTCTATGTTCCCTTCCAGGAGTTTTAAAGTGTCAATCTTTTATTTAGATCTTTTATTCATTTTGAGTTGGTTTTGTGTATAGTGTAAAATAAGGGTACAATTTCATACCTTAGCATGTGGAGATCCAATTTTCTCAGCACCGTTTATTGAAGATACTATCCTTTTCCCATTGTGCTCTCCCTGTGACCTTGCCAGAAATTAGCTGATCATATCTCTGGACTTTCTATTTTATTCCACTGATCTATATGATGTTTTTATACCCAGTACTGTATTAATTACTATAACTTTGTAATATAATTTCAAATCAGGAAATGTAATGCCTCCAAGTTTGTTTTTTGCTTTTGGAATCATTCTGGTTATTCAGAGTCTTTTATGGTTATATACAAAATTTAGAAATGTTTTTCTATTTCTATGAATAATGCCATTGGAATTTTGACATGAAATGCATTAAATTTGTATATAGCTTTAGGTAGGATGCACATTTTAACAATAACATATTTTCTGTTCATGAGCACAACATATCTTTCCATTTACTTGTGTCTTCTTCAATTTCTTTCATCAATGTCTTCAGTATACAGATCATTCACCTTCTTGGTGAAATTCATTTGTGGGTCTTTTTTAAGTCATTAGAAATAAGACTGTTTTCTTGATTTGCTTTTTAGTTAGGTCATTGTATATAAAATACTACTGACTTTTATATATTGATTTGGTATCCTTCAACTTTACTGAATTCATTTATTAGTTATAACAAGGCTTTTTGTGGAATCTTTGTATCCTGTCACCTGCAAATAAAGATTACTTCTTCCCTTCCGATTAGGGTGTCTATATCTCTTTTCTTATCTAATTGCTCATCTCTTGCTCTCCAGATTCTTAGAACCTGTAGGCTTTTCTCATCCTTGCAATGCCTTTAAATTTTAAGATTGTCTCTATTTTTTATTTTATTTTATTTTACTTTATTTTTCAATTACTTGCTCTAAGTTAAGTGAAGGAGTTAGCCAGGCAAATATTTGAAAAGAGTACGTCACATAAAGGAAATAGCTAGTTCAAAGGCTTTGAGATGTGTCTGAAAAAGACTAAAGAGGCCAGAGTGGCCCAGTGAACAAGGACAGAGTAGCAGGAGAATTCAGAGAAGTCATGGAAAACTGAGCACTTAGGGTCTTATGAGTTATCATACGGATTTTAGTTTTCATTTGCAGTGAGACCAAAAGCTTTGAGAAAGGGAATATCATAATCTGACATACCAGAAAGCCACTCTGCCTGATATGTAAGATGAGACTGCAGGGGGATAAGGAGAGAAGCAGGAACACAAGGGAAGAGGCCATTGCGATAACCTTAGTGAGAGGTGATGGTGGTTGACCAGGACAGTGACAGTAAGAATGGAAAGAAGAGAATTCAAGATGAATTATAAAAGCAGAGCCAAGAGGTTTGCTGAAAAATTGACTGAGGGGTCAATTAGAGAAAGAAAGAAAGGATGATATTTACAGTGATTTTGGCTTGAGCAAAGAAGATGCCATTAACTGAGATGGGAAGACCATGGAAAGAGCAGAATTGGGAGGAACACCTGGAGCTCAATTTTAAACATATTAAATTAAATATGCTTATTCAACATCTAAGTGGAAATGTCAAATAGGTAGTGGTATATGTTGGTGTCAAGTTCAAGAAAGAGGCTAGAGTAGAGACACCAATTTAGAAATCTTCTGGAACTACATGTTCAGGAGACTCAGCATTATACTATCAATATTTTTATTTTTAGATATAAATCTTTCATATATGATGATGTTTGTATTTCAGGAATATTTATTTTATACTCTATTTTCATGTATCATAAAGCAATTTATATTAATTTGTGATTTTAAGTTTCTGTTTACAGATTATGTAATATGTTGACATAGTTAGAACTTTAAGTTTATTAAATTTGTAAGTTTATTAAGTAAAATTATTTATGTTCTTAGTAAGATTTTGTTAAATCATTTTGATTATACTACAGTTGTATTATAATTGACCTACTTAAGAAATCAAGCATATTAAGTTTACGAAAACAATTTAAAATGTCTGAAAGTGCATAATTAGCCAAGTTTGTACATAAAACCAAGTATTATTCAAAACCCCTTCAGACTGAGGATTGCTAAAACCTGCTCAATATATGGAGTAGAATTTGTAAGCTGAACTTAATTCTAGAAAAAACTATATTTTTGAACTTGCAACTTTAATAAATTAATAATTTAAAAATCCAAAGTAAATTTTTAAACATTTCTTACTTTATAAATAACTGAAATTGTAGTCATTGTTAAAATGCCAATAATTGAGATAATGCATTGTTGATACATTTTATTTTTGTCTTGAAAGTACAACCGTTGAACATTATTAGTAAAATATTTACTATTGTCTAGACCATAATTCTCAAACTCTCTTGGCCATCATCCACAATATGAAATATATTTTACCTTATGAAACAATACATGTACACACACACACACACACACACAAATTTCCATGAAACAACATGAACCTTACTACCTGAAATTAGCTTTGACAAATCTACCTTTAACTATGCATTACATGGATTTCGCTGCATACTAATGGACCATAATCCACAATTTGAAATATCACTGACTTTAAGCTCAACAATTAGAGTATTTTAAAGCAAATAAATTGTGATAGATTCTGTTTGGATAACTACAAGTTGACCAAGATATGGACATACCTTGAATGCATATTTGTGTATTGCTTGGATAACAGTTTTAAACAGAAGCTTACTGGTGAGTGTATAGCCATGGTATACAACAGGTTCATTTTGTGCTCCATCCCAGCAGTCAATTTCCAGGCAACGACATCCTTTCACAAGGGCACTAGCAAAATTTAAGAAAAATAGAGTATCAATCGTGGATCATTAAAAACATATGCCATAGTTTCAAAATATTCCAAAGACTTGTTATTTTGCAATAATGCATAAATAAATCCATAAGAAAGACAAGATTTGAGTCCCTAGAAATTCTCAAAATTAAGAGTGTAGAGACAAACTATCTGTATAGTACAACACTGTGTCCTTCTAGTCAAATGTTTCACACTCTATTGCTCTTCATTCAAGGCTTACTGCACAGAAGCAATGAAGATGCCTACCTTTATATTCATAGTTCCAAAACATCCATACTCCCAACCCAGATGATTTTGCTTATGATGGTATCTACTGTTAAATGCAATATCATGAAAGAGATAATATTCAAAGCATTCTCAGAATGATAAAAATATATGAATAAAATATTATGTAATCATTTCTTTACATCAGACTTTGGGGGATAGGGTATATACTGGAAGGAAAGACAAAAAATATAATAATCATGACAATACTTGCTCCTGGAGACAATTTTGGCTGGAGGAGGTGGAAGCTAGTAGGCTTGATGGCTCAGTAAATGATCTTTATCTCCTTAGCCATTTTATTAAGGCCATCTCTAATGCTAATCCAAGTATGAGCTAGAGAAAATTAAGATTTATGCAAAGGAAGCCTGAATACCTGCTCATCTATGTTTATTTGACTCATCATTTCACTGGGAGAAAAGTTTGATCTGATTGCCTCAAAATGTACCAAGTGCACAGCTTTATCAAAACTGAAGAAAATATATTTCTACTTCTTCTAATTTCTGAAACTGAATTTGCTTTTTTTATTCAACAAATAAATCTGTTTCTTGACCTAGAAATAAATTCTTAGTTTCACAAATCCATTGTAGTCACAGGATTTAAATGAATTTTAGGTATTCTTGCTACCAGAGAGTGGTGACAGATGCTTTATTAACACATGGGCTTTTATTTGCACTATGTCAATTGAAACTGGCTGCATTTAGATTTTCCAGTGACTTTACATAAATAGAGATGTCTCAAAATCTTTAGACCCAGAGCCAGTCATTATGATATAGGTTATTTTTGCCCCAAAACATTAGGAGTTCAGTAAAACTTATTGACTTATTTATAGAAATTGTTCTAGTGATTTATGCAAATGTGTACATGGGGGACCAGAAAAAACCCCATCTCTTTTGGAAGGCAGGCTCCTGGTAGTACACCCAGAATTTGTTCCTCTGGATCAAGCGGTCAACCAAAGTTTTTGTCTGGAAGTTTTGAGAAAGTTGCATCACAATTGGTAAAATAAAAGTCCCAAGCTGAGGCAAAACAGGCAACTGGTTCCTCCACTATGACAACACACCTGCCCACACCACAGTGATTTGTTCAGCAGTTTTGACCAAAAACAGCATGACCCTCATGCCCCAATCTTCCTATTCACCCAATCTCACCTCAAGAAACTTTTTTGTTATTTCCCCATATTAAAAAAAAAAGTCCTCAAAGGGAAGCATTTTGCTGATGTGGAAGAGGTGGGGGAAAAAACCTGGCAGAAACACTAAAAAACATCAAAATTGACAAATTCGAAAACTGTTTTGAGCAGTGGGAAAAGCATCTCAATAGATGTAGTGCATCAAATGGAGAGTACTTTGAAGGCAACTGAAATTTAAACATATAAGACTAAGTACACAATTTTTTGGAAATAAATTCCAGGTTTTGGGGGTACCCACTTATAAATAGCAATAAGATGACTTTTTTTAATTTCATGGACACACATTCATAGTTGTATTGAACTGAACACATTTCTGCCTATTTTCTATGAGGGTGGTCTTACATGAAGCTAACCACCAACATCATGTGATAGTTAGTGCTATGGACTCCAAATCCATAATTACTGTCTATTCCTTATGTTCTAAGCTCTATAAGAGCAGGGATTGAAAATTTCAATCCCACAAAAAATATTTGACATATAGTTGGCCATTAATAAATATTTGCTGGCTGGGCGCGGTGGCTCAAGCCTGTAATCCCAGCACTCTGAGAGACAAGGTGAGAGGATTGCCTGAGCCCATGGGTTCAAGACCAGCATGGGCAACTTGGTGAGACGTCATCCCTACAATAAACTAAAAAATTAGCCAGGTGTGGTAGTGCGTGCCTGTAGTTCCACTACTTGAAAGGCTTGAGGCGAAAGGATCTCGGAGCCCAGCAGGTCGACGCTGGGGTGGCAGTGAGTGTGCCACTGCACTCCAGCCTGGGCAACAGAGGGAGACTCCAATTCAATATATATATTTACTGTGTGTATGTCAGGAAAAAATAGGAAGTGTAGAGATGTAAGAAGAAAAGTGGAAGGGAGACAGAAGTAACCTAAAATACAATCTTGGAAGAGACATAACTGAAGCAAAAGTTGGTTGACTTGAAACACTAGGATCACATAATTGATACCCACATATAGGAAAGAAGTTAAAGAAGCCCCTTTGTCATAAATAGAGATATTTTCCATTAGAAAACCAATTTAACACTCATTTTCCAAGAGGTATATTAAATGCTTCCACTGTCTATAGGCTACTGACTTTCCATTGGAACAATTTTGCATCACTGGAGGTATTTGTCAATGTCCGGAGGCATTTTTGGCTGCCACAACTGGGGACAGAGGGAATTTGTAACAGGAATCTAGCCAGTAGAGGCTAGGGATGCTGCTAAACACTGCAATGCACAGGAAAGTCCCCTACAGCAAAGAATTCATCTGACTCAAAATGTGAAGAGTTTGAGAAACCCTGCCCTAAGTCATGATAACCTGGAGAAGAGAGTGTGATCTCAGAAGCAGTGCTTATATAAAATTAACAATTTTTCCAACAGAAACACAGAGCACCAAATGCATTATATGAAAAAAATGGACATTTTAGAGCTAATACTTCTTTGGGGAGATTGTATGCTTCCTAGGGAGATGACTCAAGCAGTACACTTAGGCAGGAGTGCAGCTGAGAAAAAAAAATAAAACAATTATGACACTAAGTCAAGGTGCTGAGTTCAGGGAGAAAAAAGAGACTTTATGTTTCCTTGGGAATACTATAGATGAAAGAAGGAAGATACCCCAGGCAGTAGGGCATTAGAGAGGAAGAGAATTGGTGAATCTCATCTATCTTGGAGGCTTCATAAAGACAAAGTGTAAAATTAAATTATTAATAACTTTTTTAGGTTTGGGGGGCTAAACTGCACACTGCTTTATTCAGACATGTGGTGATGCACTACAATCTAAAACTTCAGAACATTGTTAACTTCTTTTCCTTGTGTTGGAGGAATGAGCCTAGAACACTCTTCTAGAGAAATCCTGTCTGACTCATTGATATTTCTTTGGGCAAATAAGGTAGCCACCTAATTCCTGGCTCAAGTTCTAAATTGGGCTATATTTGCAGAATTCTAAATGAATTTAGTTCTTGACTTGCAGATTTATTTATGTATTTAACTTTTAAATTGGAGAAGTAATGTTTATTTGTAAACTTAATTTCCACAAAAGACATTTGTCTTACGTTATTCTTAGTTGATTGTCAAAGTAAATTGTCTTACTCCTTTTACCAACATTGAATATCAGCTCTCTGGGGGTTGCCAGGGAAAAATTTTGAACTCTCTATTGTGGGTGGGAATAAACCATCGCAATTTTGGTTGTGAAAAAAACTTTTCATAAGTAATGTTGATTCTTACTACTTCTCTAGATAGTTTTAACTTTATCTATAAATCAATCCAACCATTATGAAACTGCATATTCAAACCATACGATTTGGTCCCCAGAAAAAATGTTTTAAGAGATTGCATAGTATTGTGCCAACCACTTATAATTAGAGGCACATAACAGAAAGTTTCATCTTCTCTGGTGTGATGTGGAGGCCACTCTCCACTATTTCACTCTGAGTCCCCTTTTTGGAAATGAATGGGGGAAATTTCTCTCTTATTCCCTTCTGAGCAAGCAACCATTTTGTTTTCATAAGCATTGTAAATCTTATAACTAATCCTGTTTCTCTCTTGGCTTTGGCTAAGAAAGCTTAGAGATGATATGCTCCCTGTATTCCAAAATTTGTATAGGACTTTTTGGTATGAAATTTCTACTAACCTTAATACAAACTATTTATCTTTAAAATCTTCCTCACATACTTCCTATAAACTGAGTATAATTTTTATTAATGGTAAGTTTCTTTAAATTGTGTGAGTAACATTACTTTTTTCCATTTGAAGTTGAATTTTAATCAGCAATAAAATAAATTTGAGGAGCTTTTGGTTGATTAAAATATTTAATACTAATCAGCAAGTACTATTAATATTCCTTTTATAAAATATGAGGAAATTGTGACACAAAAAGGCTTTATTTATCACAGGATTAACATGTGGGAAGGAGAAGAAATATGAGCAATAAAAATGTAAACATTGATGCTCAAACATTACATTATACCACTTATCATAAGCAAAGAAATTGTGAAAGACTTATATTCCAAGGATGTATCTTCCAAAGATGGACAAAGAAAATAAGAAAAAATATAATTAAATTGAAATTGAAATTTATAATTAAATTGGGTTGAGACATTTTATTGAAATTTAGAAGTAATATTATATATTTCTAAACAGACCTGTTCTAAAATTTGTATTTTCACTCTTTAAAAAACATAAATAATAAAATATAAGTAGAAAATTTTGCAATAAAATTGCAGCTGTAAATTGGGCTATCTTTATAGAATTCTAAATAAATACATTCCTTTATTTGTGGATTTATGCATTTGTTTAGATTTGAAATTGGAATCGAAGCAATGTTTATGTTTGATATTATAGAATTATAAGATATCTCTTCAATCTAAGGTTTTTCCTTAAGTAATACCATCTAATCACAAAGCTTTAAATGCCACCTATATGCTGATGACTTCCAATTCTATTTTTCCAGTCTGACTAGTTCTTCTGAATTCCACACACATATGCTCAACTGACTATTTGACTAGTCATTTAATAACTAATTGATATCTCACACGTGACATGGGAGCCACGAGATTCGCTTCTGTCTTGCATCCTTTGATGGGCTTCTCTCTCAGGGTTCACTGTCTCAGTCAGCAGTATCTGTACCTTAGGCTATCCGCCCAAAATCTTGATTCCTCTCTTTTCCTCACACTGCTCTTCAAATCACCAGGTAAGACTTGATTCTGCCTCCTCAACCTAAAAAGTCCCCAACCTATGATAGTTCAACTTAAAATTTTTTAGCTTTATGATAGTGTGAAAATGGTATGCATTCAGTAGAAACCGTACTTCAAACTTTTAATTTTGAACTTTTCTCAATCTAGCAACATGTACAATATTCCCACACAACCATGAGTGCAAACAACAGAGACTTTATCGTGTACTGTGTTACCAGCATTTATGATTTGGCCCAACTCTAGGCTGATGTTAAGTGTTCTGAGCATGTTTAAGGTAGGCTAGGCTAAGCTATGTTTGGCAGGTTAGGTGAATCAGATGAATTTCAACTTAAGATATTTTCAACTATCAGGATGTAACCCCATCGTAAGTCACGCAGCATCTTTATTTCCAATTCATTCACTTGTCACTATCTCAGCTGTCACCTCATGAGTTCGCCATTTATATAACCACCATCACCTAGACTGATCCAAAATCTTTCCAAATCATCTACCTCCACTTTTGCCCCTGCAGCCTTTCTTTTGCCCCCTACTCTTTCTTTCTGTAAAGCGTACATCAAATTATAAAACTATCTTAAAGAAATCTCTCCAAGGGCTCCCCAATAACTAGAATAAAATCTTTCTTTCTTTGGTCTACAGGGCCCTCAAAACCTGACCCTATTTACCTCCTAAAACTCATCTTCCTTCATTCATCATTTACTTGTTTCTAGTCACATTTGCTATTTTTCTCTTATTTGAACATACCAAGCACTTATCATTTCTCCTGTTTAACCTGACCTTTCTACAAGATCTTCCCAAGTCCTCCGTTTTATCATCACTCAGATCATGACTATTACACTTCTAAAAAGCCTTTCCTCACAACTTTACCTCAAGTTACACTTCCACCCCACAATCACTTTCTACAAGGTTACCCTGTTTCATCTTCTTAATATGACTTATCAATCCCCGAAAATATGTATTTACCTGTTCAGTATCTGTCTATCTACTTGTACACAGATGAGTATAGCAGCTTTGAAAATCTTATTCACCACTGTATCTCAACTGACTGACTAAAATGAAGCCCAGTATTAAAAGTACAACACATTATAGGATGTACAACTAGAGCTGCAACATGGATTACTTTTAATCTATTTAAATTTTCCAATATATAAATCCATAAAAATCAATATTTATAAATGTCCAATTATGCAATTTACTGTATTTATGTGTTGATTTTACTTATAGCATTGTGTCTTGATTCCTGGGAATTAATTTTAACCATAACTGTTAAAATCTAGAATGTTCTAATTAGCTAAACAATAAAAATTTTCTTCATATTTTTAAAATAAGTATCCAAGTTATTTGGCAAACTTCAGAGGGGCCATAACCATGGAGAATAGGTCAGCAGGCAGGATTAGAAGCAAAGTATATGATACTAATGCATACAATAAATTATGTTGTCATGTCATCCAAATGTTAGATCTTCACGATATATAACAAATAAAAATTCCTGTTCTTAATGAGTTTGGAAAACCACATAGCCTTCTTTTTATCATGCACTCCTGCCTTTTGAGGTAGACACTACCAGGAGCTTCAATGGTTTTAAAGCATAATAAACTTAAAAAATGAAAATAAATACCTTATATATCCCCAAAGGTCACTTGGTCCCACTAATTGATCAGATACCAAATATGTGTTATGTGAACTTGAAATAAAATAATCATTTAATGGATGGGTCATATCTTGATAAACTCTTCCACATTCATGTTTAAATAGTAGACATTCAGGCGAAGCCATGTATCTTGTAAAACCTTCAACTGACATCTGTTGCTCTTTCCTAACTATAAAAGATAAGTTGAAAAGATGCAGAAACACCATGAGTAAGATTTTAAAAATTACATGTCACTTGTAAACTTATTCAGTAATAGAGTATCCTTCTAAAATATTCATGTAGAGTATTATTTCTAAATTTTTCTTTGGAAATACATTTTTCTAGTGAATATCTTTTGTTCTTCTACATCAACATTCAAGTAAAAGACGTATTATTTAATAATTTCTAATGTTCTTAAGTTTTAAAAAACCCAAAACAGTACACTTATTATAGATCAATAAACTTCCACAAGCTACATGTCTGGATAACTGGCACACAGATCAAAGGACAAAATATTACATCACCCCAGAAACCTATATCCTACTAGCTTTCTAGTTACTCACCCCACCCAAGTGTATCCACTGTTCTTGCTTCTGAAAACATAGATTAATCCTCTGGTTTTTTGTACCTTATATGAATGAACTCATTCAATATGTATTTTTTGCACCTTTTTTTTTTTTTACTCAACATTATGCTTCTTAGATTTACTTCTGTAGCTACATGTAGTTATACAGTGTTCATTCCCATTGCTATATATAACATACCATGGTATGAGTATGCCACAATTTATTTATCCATTCTATTCTTGATGAGCATTTAGATACTATTCTATTTGGGGCTATTAAAAATAGTGCTGCTATAAACAACCAGTGCATGTCTTTTGGTGAAAATATGAATACACTCTTGTTTGGTGCATGCCTAAGAATGGGATTGCTGGGTCATTTATATGTGATTTCAGAAATTTGTCTCTGAATTATTTTACTCAGTATGGACCAAATTTATCAGTTTAAGCATAAACTTGGTTCTGAAACCAGACAGCCTGGGTTCATATCCATTTACTTTTCATGTGACCTTGAACAGGTTACTTAACTTCTTCATATCTGTTGAATGGGGGAGAATCACAGAACCTGTCCATATATGTCATTAGCTCTATAAATGTTTGTTGCTCTTTATAGTTCAGTTTGCCTCAAAAGAAAATCTGACATGAGTAATTCCTTTGACTTGAGTATGATCTTTGGCAAAGAATTATATTTTCAGGAATTTATCCTATAGAAGTAAAGACTCAGAACAAAGATTGATGTGCAAAAATATTTACACTAGTATTATTAATAAAAGCAAAATAAATAGAAGAGGAAGCAAATTAAAGCTCAAAACATGATACAACACTAGGCAAGAATTTAGACTAATGTTTTATAAAAAATATATAGTGACGTTAGTTAATGTTTATAACATTGGGAAAGTGAAAAAGTCAGCATTCAAAATGCTATTACTATTTTATTTTTAAAAATAAAGGCTAAAGAAAAATAAATAAAATGTTTATAGGGATACAAACCCTCTGTTTCAAAGCCATGTAAATGTGGGAAGATGAAAGTATATGGAGTAAATGAATCATGTATTATAATGGTAATAATTTGCATATATGTATTCTTTTTCCCTACAATTAACAGTGATTGGCTTAGCCCTTTTGAACTACTAAATAATTAAGTAAATATCTCTGGTAAAGGAATATAAAACAAATTCATTTTGTGCTCTCAAAAACTGCCAGATTGATTAATCACATGGATGTTTAAAAACCTCATTTAATGCACGTCACATACCAATGAAGGATGAGATTGAGAAGCCTGGCAGTATTGGAAGCTATAAGATCATAATTCAAATTGGCCTTAATAAGACTTAATAAGACTCCAAAGTGATCAATAATCAAATAAATGAAGAGTAATGTCTCAGCTGTGTATGAGAGTATCTGAGTATCTGAAGCAGGTGAAGGCTCAAAAGATGAAATGGATGAATACTGTAACTGTAGTTAAAATGCGAACACAATTCCCACAGTGGTCACTGCCACCATCTCCAATATCCTGTTGTATCTTTTAATTACTACCTGAAGACGACAGTGCCAAAGTAAATTTTTTTTGTAATGTTCACTAGATCAGTGCTACTGAAAGTACTTGTCTATAAACTGGAGGTTTCCAGTTGGCAATGACATAAAGAGCTTAAGTTCAAACATAATCAATTCACTACTTCCTTAAAATCTTGCTATTAAAAAAAATAGCTGAACTCATTGGGTGTGCTTAGTAATATATGCTTAACATTCTGGTGCAAGCTTTTTATTCTTGTTGCAAACCTACAAAAATTTAATGGTGCTCAGACCAAACTTACTAGCACTGCACTGAGTCATACCACTACAATGTTTAAAACTCTCCAAAATCTTAGTATGGCACTGAGTCATGAAGCCGATCTCTTCATTATGGCCTACAGACTCTACATGATTCGATCTTTGTCAAGCTCTCCAAACTCATCTTCCCTTCATTCTCCAAGTTATAACCACACTGTCCTCATTCTGTTCCTTGAATTCTCCAACTCAGGTCCAATGCTTCCCTTCCCTGGACCTCAGACACCATTCTCATTTTGTCAGGTGAGTTGCCCTTTCTTATCATTTAAGTCTCGGCTCAAATGCCATATCCTTGGAGATGATTTTTCTGAACACCTAGCCTGAACTAGAACTTCCAGGTCATTACACTCTATGATAATACAATGATAATCTTCTTAGTTTTGTTTTGTTTTTTTCTTCCTTCCTTCCTTCCTTCCTTTTTTTCAAGTTGGGATTTCTTTTGTCACTCATGCTGGAGTGCAGTGATATAATCACAGCTCACCACAGCCTCAATCTCTTGGGCTCTGGCAATCTTCCTGCCTTAGCCTCCCAAGTAGCTAGGACTACTGGTGTGCACCACCACACTTGGTTAAATTATTATTATTATTAAATTATTATTATTATTATCATCTTCATTATTAAGGCAACGTCTCAAACTTCTGGGCTTAAGCAATCTTCCTACCTCGGCCTTCCAAAGTGCTGAGATTACAAGCATAAGCTACCATGCCCAGCCTATTTTGTTTTTCACAGCACTTAGTCTTTGAGACAATGCTTTTATATGCTTAATTATTTACTGTCAACTTTCCCCCAATCCCCGTCAGAAACACAAGACCTACTTGCTTCGTTCTCCACTGTACCCCAACCCTGAGAACCATACTTGGTTGTTACAAATAAATATGTAAATAAATGATGAATGTATGATTCTATGAAGAACTTTAGTTTTATTACAACCCATGTTATCATATGTTATACATTGACATCCTAAGCCAACTTTCAAATGCAGAGCACGGACTTTCATACCTTCTTGCTAGATGAATATTTTGAGCTATACCATCAGTTAATTTCTGTGAGGTTTAAACATTATGCTTTAACAATGGTTTTGTGCCATTTTGTGAATATTTTATTGTATTATGTCTTTATTATTTTACTTTTAAATGAGAACAACTGAAAATTTTGAAGAGTTTTACCCATCAGGAGATGGGACAAGGATCACAAAATTGAGTGACAGATTATCAGCCTAATGGTCATTTAATGACTATGGTCACCAAATGACTATGTGTTCAATAATAAAGGAAAAACAAAACAACTTTAAATATTTATGAAAATTTGTAGACAACTATAATTATAAATAGGAAAAATGTGTGATTTTGTAATATTTTCTTTCCTTCTTAGAAATTTTTTCATTTAGCTCATTTAGTTTTCATATATTTTCAATAATATGATGCATAAAAATGGAAGACTGCTTTTAATGGGGCTTTTATCTTATTCATCAAATTAATATGCTTTCTTCTAATAAGTTGCATGTAACACCTGAGCTTGTCTTGGAACACTTGAGAGGTACATGGAAAAAGTTAAAAAGAAAAAAGCTAGACAATGTAGTAGGAAAGAATGTCATGGTTACACAGTATATCTTTCTAAAAAATATATATATGTGCTATAAAATATATTTTTTAGAAAAAATTTGACCCACCCAATAATTTGAGTTTAATAACTGTCATAAAAATACTTTGCATATAAATATCCTGATAAAACTGAAATACAAACATACCTTCTTCAATGGGTTCATATTTCTGAATGATCTCTAAAGCAGTAGTTTTACTTTTCTCAATCATATATTGTTCTTGTATCAGAAATTGAATCAAATTCCTTTCAAAAAGAATTTTCCGGTTTTCAGAATATGTGTTGAAAATCTCAATAATTTCTTCTCGGTATGCAATAATTCGATAAATTGCTCTAAATTCTTCTATGGTGATTCTTCCTTGTCTCAGTCGGTCATTATCCTACTAAAAAAAATGGTGGGCTCATATTGTGAGTATAAAAAAATACCCAAAATGAAACTTAGAGTTTTTATGTACTATATATAGCAATGTATACTGGAAAGAAGATCAAACTTACATTGGGTTCTTATTTCAGATAAAATGTGTAAAACTGTATTGAGTGAGCAAAGTTAGGAAAAAGTTAATGGATCACTGGCGAGACCTCATCTCTACAATAAATCAAAAAATTAGCCGGGCATGGTAGCGCACACCCGTAGTTCCAGCTACTTGGAAGACTGAAACGGAAGGATCGCCGGAGCCCAGCAGGTCGAGGCTGCGGTGGCTGGGAGCGGCCACTGCACTCCAGTCTGGGCGACAGAGAGAGACTCCAACTCAAATAAATAAATTAATTAAATTAAATTAAATTAAAGTATATAGAGATAAAATTATGGTCTTTCTTGAATAGGAGTGTAAGATAAAATATGCATCATTCACTGAATAATGAAAATGTTATTACTTTCAAGTAGCATATGAACTTGGTCATCTGAAACGACCTCTGGTAATTTGTTTTGTCTTGTGTTTTCCTAAAAGATCAAAGTTGTCATCTGAGATTAAAGGAATTGGAGATATAAATGTCAAACAAAATTGTACAAATCCATATAATTGCTATAATTGATTAAAATCAAAAAAAGAATTGAGGATCATAAATTAATCAAATTACCGAAAAATAAAAGTCACACAAAATATTGAGGGTTGTATCACTGAAGACCTAATGTTAGTAGAAAAAGAAAAGGAAAAGGAAAGCAACAAGAAATAAGTAATGATGGAGGACACAAGCCAGATCTGGTAAACTGAGTCATGATCAGGGGAAGCAATGAGCAAGAAAGCTGCAAAACTAAATACTAAGCATGTGATAGCAGCTAAAACTTAAAAGTACCGTTGTATTAGAGTCTCCTCTCTAAGAGGAAACTGAAGCTCAAATCTCTCGTGTAAATTGTCCCCAGTCCCACAGGTGTGTTAGGCAAAGAGTTGAACCAACTCCAAAACCACGCAGAGGAGCAGTGGGAAGAAAAAAAAGTCAACACACTATTACACAGACTAACAGTATAAATGCAGAAATAAATTATGTAAAATGCAAATCTGATCATTTCAACTCCCTCTTAAATTTCTCAGTGTGTCTCCTTTTTCTTCTAGAAAAAACCCCAACTATGTTGTGTGACATCCAAGACTCTAGGATGTCGTTGATGGTTTCTGTTCTTCTTTTCCTTCTGACACCTTGCTTCAGATGCTCTGAATAATTACAGTGTGGATACCAACCTATCTCTTGCTGTGGTACAGGCTGTTCTTTCTGTCTGGAATGCCATTTTTTTCTTTATGTTTTTCTAATTTCTACTAATCCTTGAAAAAGTGCCGTCTCTTCTAGAAGTCTTCCCTATGTCCTTCTGTGTGTCCTCTCCAGACTGTTTAGATATCTCTCTCCTCTGTGTTCTTATAAGATTCTGCACTTTCTTCTTTCCTAGGGTTTACTACACTGGAATGAGAGGTTTTATCTATGTTCTTTCTAGAATTGCCTCCGACAGGGAGTCTGTCATTTGTTTCTTGTAGCCTCAGAACTTAAAAGAGTACCTGACTGAAGGTATTCGGAATGTCGTCTAACACCCAAACAATGTTATGATTCTGATGAAATATGTGCATTTAAGCAATAATTAGATAAAGAAGTTAAATATATCCTTAGGCTTAGAGTGAATCGGGAAAGAGATTTAAAAATACATATACAGAAAATATGCAAAATCTCAAGTCGCACCTCATAAAGGTATTTTCTCCTGTTTTAAAAAATATTCCTTAGGTGGTTATTCTTTGCAAACACTATAAAAAGAACTCTCCCATACAATTTATTCAGTGTTTGTGTATATTTGGAAATACACCTTATACTTTAAGACCATGAACCTTATGAAGGCAGATATTTTCTTCTTTTTATCCCCAATGCCTAGTACTAGACCCACTGTAGAGTAGGAGCTTAATGATTATATGTTTAAATGAAGAGTTGAATAAATGAGGATAAAAGAACATACTAAAATAATTCTATTGTTAGTCATTCTGATAATCCACTTTCAAAAAGCAATGAAGCTTTTCATGTTGTAACCACTTTCCATTGCTCAGTTTGGCAGTAAAAATATGAAATGTTATTTAAAATAAAAGATGTCATGAGAAAGCTGATTTATCAAAACACAGAATTTATTTTTAATGTAAGATGTAGCATTTTTAAATTGTCCCTGAAGTGCTAAAAATGAAGCATTCAAAATATATTACAGGAAATGATATGACTTGACACTTTCTTTTTTCACCCATCTCTGACATTAGTTTAAAATAATGGCAACTTTGTCTTCTTCCTTTCCTTGTTCCTAACAAAATCTATGAGTCAGATACTATATTGGATAATAAGGATGTAAAGGTAACTCATTGTCAGTGCCCTCTGGGAGCTTATAGTCTAGAAAAGGAAAGCGGGCATGAAAGTGTTACAGGTGCTACAATTTAAACTTTATAGATAATAGACACAGTAAGGAAAGATGGACAATTCTTCCTGAATGGCCAAAAGAGAGTCTTTCTAGAATAAGTGACTCTGGAGCTGAGTCTTCAAAGATGAGAAGGAAGGTATTTATCTGAAAGTGGAGAGGAAAGGTGCTCATTCTGGTTGTTGGAATGACAATAAATTGGACGCACAAAGATATGGAACAGAAGCGTATAAATAGGAAGACAGTGAAGCTGCAGCAGCCATAAGGTGGGAGACACTGCTGGATTTTATGGGCTCATGGATGCCACTCTAAGGAGCTTAGACTCCATTCAGAAACACTGAGAAGTTATTGATGAGCTTTAAGGAGAAAAATTATATAGCTAGATTTTAGTTTTAGAAAGATCACTCTGGTAACTCTATAGAAAGTAGATGTTAGTATTCAAAGCAAAGAAAACAGTGTGTAGGGATTTTCAGCTTTGATGTACACATGAGTGACCTAGGGCTTTGTTGAAATGCAGTCAGCGTCATTATTTCTGAATTTGCAAGTCTAACAAGTTCCTGAGGACACCAAAGATTCTGCTCTGAGAACCACAGTTGCAGTAGCAAGTAGTTCAAAAGCAATTGACTTAGTATAGCAAGAATATAGACCTAAAAGACTGAAAATTTGACATGGAGATGAAGTAAAAGGAAGAGTCTGGGAATCTGGTTTCTGGCTTAAATAACTGAGAGAATTGTGCTATTAACCAAGAAAAGAAATAAAGAAGGACAGACAGTTTTGAAGAGAAAGATAAGTTTCATTTTAAATATATTAAATTTGGAGTATCTCTGGGGCATCCAAGCAGAGAGAGCCAGTAGGCAATTGGTTGAGGAAATAGGAAAACGATGTGTTACAGAGAAAAACACAGTAAGAATTTTGGAATCAGAGCCAGACACGAGTTTCCTACCGTGATGTGAGATATTAAAAAAATCGTATCAACATTCTTGTCCTCAAAATCTTTACGTGTAAAAAGCTAAAAATAACTTCCTTAGATATTTGTTAATATAATGTGTGCAAAAAAAAAAAAATCAGCGCCCTGAAGATGGCAGATGATGAACAAACGGTGGCATTTATATGGCTTTGTTATTTAGGCTAGAACTTTTTCCTATTTAAGAAATAGGTGAAGCTATTGAGAGTCAATAAGATAGCTCAGGAGCCGGGTTTGGTGGCTCAGCCTGTAATCCTGTGCCTTGGGAGGCTGAAGTGAGTGGATTGCCTGAGCCCGTGGGTTCGAGACCCGCCTGGGCAACTTGATGAGACCTCATCTCTACAATAAATCAAAAAATTAGCTGGTTATGGTAGCGCGCACCTGTAGTTCCAGCTACTTGGAAGGCTGAGGCGGAAGGATCGCCGGAGCCCAGCAGGTCGAGGCTGCGGTGACTAGGAGCGGCCACTGCACTCCAGTCTGGGTGACTCCAACTCAAAAAAAAAAAAAAAAAAGATAGCTCAGGAAAGAGTGTGTAGAGTAAAGAGAAATAAAGGGCTCAACTTTAAGAGGCAAGTAGAATGAATGATCACAGGACAGAAGGAGAAGGAAAGGTTACAGATGTTAAAAGAAAATTAGGAGAGAGTAATATTATGGAAATCAAGACAAGGAAGTTTTTAAGAAAAGAAGAATAAAATGAAATGCACAAGAGAGGCTAACCTGTGGATTTAGCACTTTTCAGGTTAGGCGTGAAAGCAAAGCTTATGGCAATGGATCATGAACGAGTGGAGGAAGAAATGCAAAGGTTTCTTTTAGTTTGTCTGCTAAAAGAGAAAACGTAACATTTAGAAGATATGATGCTATTTATTTTTTAGATAAGACTAAAAAAATTTAGTCTTATCTAAGAAATAAATTTAGTCTTATCTAAAAAATAAATTTAGTCTTATCTTGTGAAATTATGATATCTCACTTAAGTAAGAACCCACAAACTTGAGGAAGAACCAAACAATATTAGTGGCTGAGTTGATTTGAGGTTGCAAGTTTGTAGAGAAGAAGCAGTCAAGGAATAATATCTCTCTCTGACTTCTAGCATCCAATCTATTCTACACTACTGCCAAGGAATTTATCCCAAAATATGTAATATTTCCTTTCTCAAAAAATTTCAATTGCTACCTATTGCCTACAAATGGAAATTGAATTTCTGTGGTATACTATTCAAGCTTTCCATCATCTCACTGTTAACTGGCATTCACAGCTATTTCTTATCACTTCCCCTTCATGCATCCTGTACTCCAGTCATGTTTGATTACTTTTTATTCTCCAAACACACCTTGCTCTCCACACATATTGCTTCTTATTATTTAAAGTCCAGCAAAAATTATACCTTCCTTGTCGCATCTTCTATAAAAGCTCAAATTAGAGTCTCTTTCTTCTCAGATTCCCTGTTAGTACTGCCAATGACATTTATTATAACATACTTACAAAATAGTAGTCTCTGTATTCCTTTTTCTGCCCATAAGAGAGAGATAACACTAGTTTCTTTTTTTTTTTTT